AAAATTTCGAATGCAAACAGAAAAGAGTAACCTGTTCCATTTATTAATTTCTAAAAAAATTTACCTGCATATTGGTAACTATTAGCTCCAATGTACGACAGAAGAAATTGATATGTCTCCAAACTCGAAGAACCTTCACACGAACAGACTGCTTAATGAAACACTTTTTTATCCTAGAAAGAGAATCCATAGCGAAGAAAAGAACGCCAAAGCAAAGATCGAAAGGTACTTCCTATAGTTTATTTATGGGTCCTCTCGAACTGCAAAGAAAAGAAGGTTATGCGGCTTAAAGAACCATAAAAGGTGATATATGGCAGTAAGCGATCTACTTTGGGGCCAAATATTCTTTTAAAAATCACTGACATCCGTTCGCTTTCCCATTATTTGTCCATATCGAACTTGTTGCAAACCATATTGGGCCCAAGTAAACAAATAGTTAATTAATTCGACCCATATGAATCCAGTGAATGTAAATAAACATCAAATATAAAAAGATACAACAACAATCTACGCTATCACTATCCAAATATTTTTAGATAATATAAACGACAACGACCTTAATATAGCCCAAGATATCTGATATCGAACAACATGATATCCCTTACAATTCTAATCTACAAAATCTTAAAGTAAATTAATATAGAAATTTCCGGATGGATAAGAATAGTATACTGCAGGATATATCCCATTTTATTTTTTTTTACTTAGAAGATGTCAACAATATACACCTATTATATGTATATACATCAGTATGCATATAAACACCGTCTTATATAGTCTCGTTCAAGATACCACATACTAACAAAATTCAATTAGTACGGTAAGCTCTTATTTTTAGACATCTTAAAAAAAAACCGAAAATACAATCGAGATATCATGGAACAACCAAATAGAATAAGAAAATAACTTATTAAAAGAACACAACACTGTTACAAATCATATACGGCCAAAATACAAATCATAGATAACCTAATACAATCAAATTACATTAATCTCAACGAAATATCAATAAAAGTATTCCTCTTCAAGGCATACACGATCAAGCATATACACTCAAGAATCTGAAACTTTATATCTTTAGTGATCCCAACACGTCCTCTACACTCCACACTCGACATTGGACAGATCATTAATTACACCCTCGCAAGAACTCTATCACACATTAAACATTACAATAAAAAATTCACCTACATAATACATATGAAGAATTCATTAGATAAGAATATACGAATAAATTCATCAAATACCTGTATACATAAGAAATTATTAATAAAATATAAAATCAAATACATGATCAGCTGCAAAACTACAAAGAAGGAAACAACATCTCGATGATTCTTCACGTAGTCGAAATGCAATCAGCGCCGAAAACCTAATCGTCAACAAAATAAAAAAGGTTAAACGAAAATCCAAATCAACAAAAGAACCTAATACATCTATATGATATATGTAGAGAGCATACTGTCTAAGCAGGGCAGTGCTTCAAGAAGATCAACAAAGCCATCAACTGTATGCATATAAAAAAAATTCATTAGATATGCGTATGAAAATTTCACCAAAATACAAAATCTAACAAACACGAAGAACAAATAAACAAATCGATAATTTTTGCCGATCCTAGAATACTGAACTATATATATAGAGAAGATTAGGGTTACATGACAACCGCTCATACATTATGGGCTACAACCCAATTTAAAAGAATAATTTTAAAGTTTTAGAAAGTATACGAAATTACCTAGATTTTATTAAGATTCACATAAGATAATGGTAACTATATTAATGTTATTCCCAGTTCAATAACCATAGAATCATTAAACTAATGAATGTTCCTTTTTGATTATTTCCTAACTTATTTAGAAATTAAAAAATGTTAGAATTATCTAAATATTAAATTCGAGATATACATTAAGTCAGCAAAAAATAATATTGAAAATCTTGGAAAATATTAGAATAGATTAGCGATTTCTTCATTAAGGGCATTTAGGTAATATTTAGTGAGATTGAATGAGACATCTCTATTCCTCAAAATCACTTCACAAATAAAGGTTTAGATGGGTTATAGGATTACTTTTAGGGTCATTATAATGCAAAAATTGTTTTGATTTGTTGGAAAATGTTTACCATATGTTTCTCTCATAGCAATCACATGGTTTAAATATAAGCCTAAAATCAGTTTATAGCAAAATCTCATAAGCACAATTTAGTTTAAGACAATCTAAGATGTTTTAAAAAAATGCATTTTCTGTCTTTATCACACATATCTTCTTTACCGAAAACTTATCTATATCACTGGCCAAATCTTATGAAGACAAAGAGTTTTCTGAAGATAATGAAGCTGGATCCAATGGCTTCATAGTGGGGATAAAAATTCAAACTTCTTTCATACTACAACAAGAGAATGAATAGCCAGAAACAAATTTTCAATTATTGAGAATGATCAAGGGTAAGCTTTATTTGAAGAAGGAAAAATAGTATACATAGTGATTGAATATTATCGATTTATCTTTACTTTAAACTCTAGTGATGGTTTTGATGTAGTTTCTAGCTATAACGCCTAAGATATCCTCTGACATGAACATGACTTTTATTAAACTACCAGATGACCTTGAAATAATAAGCAGTCTTCTCCACCAACTCGGACAAGGCACCGGGACCTGATGGTTTCACTGCAGACTTCAACCAATTTTTTGGGATATAATCGGCCCTGACGTTTCATGGAATATCCAGCTCTTCTTTGAATCTGGCTCCCTGCATCAGAGATAAAATGAGATGTATGTTTGGTAAAGGACTAAGAAAAATGTCGGATTATTGTTCAATCGCTCTTTGAGTCTCCCACACAAAAAAATAATCGCCAAAATCTTAACCCGTCGACTGCAACCCCTGCGGCTGCAACTAATCTCTCTACAATAATAAGCCTTAGTGCCAAAAAGGACAATGTGTTAATTACATATGAGGTTCTCCATTACCTCTGCATCTTAGGAGCAACAAAAAGATGCTCTATGGCAGTTAAAACAAACATGAGCAAGGCTTACGATAGAATTTAATGGAGCTTCCTTCATAGAGTTTTGAAATAGTTTGGCTTCCACGACTATGTGGATCTCTGGGACTATGGAATGTGTTTGCTCGATATCATACTCCTTCTTGATAACTGGCACTTCGAATGCCAGATTTTAACCTTCTCGTGGACTTAGGCAAGGCGATCCCCTCTCATCGGACCTCTTCATTTTCCGCACCAAGGTGATGTCTGGCCTATGTACAAAGGCTCAGAAGAATGGCTCCCTTCCATGCATCAAGGTTGCTCGTGGGTGCCCTCCAACAAATCATCTTCTCTTTGCTGACCTTGATGCATGGAAGAGAAATCTAGAAGACCAGTTGTGGGCTTTTTGGCGAACACGATCAACAATGCTTGCACAAATAGAGAAGAGAACATTGCAGCTGTTGCCACAGTGATGGTAACAGCTGCAATATACTCTCTTCTATTCTCAAACGGTATGAACTGGTGTCAGGGCAAATCATAAACTTGGCAAAATCAGCAATCACTTTCTTCTCTAAAACTCCTTAGGAAGCAAAAGAAGAGTGAAACAGAGCCTTCAAATCAATAATGAAAGAGGTATTAGAATGTACCTTCGCCTTCCATAACACTTTAGTAGGAAGAAATGGGACATTTGTGCAAGCATTGTTAATCGTGTTTGCCAAAAAGCTCACAACTGGTCTTCTAAATTTCTCTCAAGCGCTGGAAAACAGATCTTACTAAAGCAGTCCTCTTGGCTATGCCTTCTTACGCTATATCCTGCTTTAAAATCCCTCTCTCCCTTTGTTAGCAGATTCAATCAATTCTAACCCGTTTTTGGTAGGATATTAAACCAGGGAAGAGGAAGATCTGCTGGACCTCTTGGGAGAAAATCACGCTTCCAAATAGTAAAAGTGGTCTTGGCTTCAGGAAAATTAAAATCTGTAATGATGTGCTGCTGGTCAAACTTTTCTGGAGAATCCTTAAGTCGACTCTCTACTATCCCAGATTCTCTTAGGTAAGTATTGTCACTTAGTCTCCTTCATGGATTGCTCTCCCCATCCAGCTTCTTCACATGGCTGGAGAGGCATCTTAACAGGAAGGGAAGTGCTAAAAAGGCACGGGTGGATCATTGGCAATGGCTCACAAGTCTCGATTTGGAATGCCAACTGGATCTCAACCTCTCAACCATTATCTCTAATTGGACCTCCCACAAATATCAATAAAGCGCTCATGGTTCAAGATCTCTTGGTTTATGAGACCTTTGAGTGGAACCTCCCTGCTATTCATCTTCACTTACCTCAGTAAAAGGATACAATTATGAAGCTCATCCTAAAAACCTTTCATATGCATGATGAATTCTCCTGGTTACTAGGAACATCTGGAACATATTCCACCAAATCAGGCTATGCTCTCTCAAAGACCAACTCTATAGCAGTATCTGATGTTCTCTTCAAATGGAACCAATGTATCTGGAAGCTTAAGACCTCTCCTAAGCTGAAGAGTTTCCTCTAGAAACTAAAATATAGAGCCCTCCTGGTTTTTAAAAACACTTGCTTTTAGAGGAATCAATGTGGAAAGTTTATGTAAGAGATATGGAGCAGTGGAAAATGAAACTCATATTTCTTCTCCACTGCCACTTTGTAGTTCATATGTAGGAATCCATTAATGCCCTTTTCAAACCGTCAGTGGCAACCCTGACTACCCTCCGTTTCGGCTATAAAATTTTCATCGCATGATCAACTTACCACCAATTGGTATCTCCTCTATACCTCTCTATATGTGGGTCTTCTGGAACCTTTGGACTAGTCAAAACCAGCTCCTCTTTGAAAATAAAATCTACACGGCTAAAGAGATAGCTCGCAACACCATCAAAGATGCAAAAGAATGGCATATGGCTCAAGAATCAAAGAGGAAGATAGAGATTGTCCCTCCTCCTGTCCAGTCCTGACATCCTCCAATTATCTCCTCTACCATCAATTGCTTTATGGATGCATCTTCAGATCTGTTGAGTGGGAGTTGTGGCGTTGGGTGGATCATCAAAGATGGCTTAGAGGCCCTACTCCACCAAAATTCTGCAAATCGGTGCTTTGTAGGCTCGGCCTTAGCTGCAGAAGCCCTAACACTTAAGACTGCTCTCTTAGATGCAGTGTCTTCAGGTATCAGAGCTTGTTTATCAGACTCCAAGAATCTCATTTCTCGACTCACTGGCAATGGCAATTCCGTCAAGCTCCAAGGAATCTTCTGCGACATTCGCGTGCTGAGTAACTCCTTCGAATATATCTGTTTTTCCTTCATTTCCCGTTTAATCAATGTTTCAGCTGATTATGGTTTCAAAATGAGCCTTATCCCAGGTCCACAACATTCTCCTCACGGAGATGTAATATCCGTTTAATAAAAATTAAAATTTAACCAAAAAAAGATAATGTTTTTAAAACTCAATTGAAATCTCTTTATGGTCAAAATCATTTCATAAGAACACTAGTTCACATTGTTTTAAGGTCACTCGCCCGGTCATAAATGTGGAAAAACCAGAAAATATGAAAAATATGCATTTGAAATTTTGAAATGTCTACCATCAAAAGTTTATGGAACAAAATGGACAATGTGTTGAAGATGAATATTGTATTGTATTATTGAATATGTAGAACACAGCTTATATTAGTAAAATGAGATCATGAAGTAATTATAAATGACTATTATATGAATAATTAACTAGCATAATTATAAGATTTGAGATCTCAAAGTGATATGAATGATTATTTTTCTTTTAACACTCATATTGTCCATACAATGAATGTGTGAATCGAAGAGGAAGATAGAGATTGTCCCTCCTCCTGTCCAATCCTGACATCCTCCAATTATCCTCTCTACCATCAATTGCTTTATGGATGCATCTTCAGATCTGTTGAGTGGGAGTTGTGGCGTTGGGTGGATCATCAAAGATGGCTTAGAGGCCCTACTCCACCAAAATTCTGCAAATCGGTGCTTTGTAGGCTCGGCCTTAGCTGCAGAAGCCCTAACACTTAAGACTGCTCTCTTAGATGCAGTGTCTTCAGGTATCAGAGCTTGTTTATCAGACTCCAAGAATCTCATTTCTCGACTCACTGGCAATGGCAATTCCGTCAAGCTCCAAGGAATCTTCTGCGACATTCGCGTGCTGAGTAACTCCTTCGAATATATCTGTTTTCCTTTATTTCCCGTTTAATCAATGTTTCAGCTGATTATGGTTTCAAAATGAGCCTTATCCCAGGTCCACAACATTCTCCTTATGGAGATGTAATATCCGTTTAATAAAAATGAAAATTTAACCAAAAAAGATAATGTTTTTAAAACTCAATTGAAATCTCTTTATGGTCAAAATCATTTCATAAGAACACTAGTTCACATTGTTTTAAGGTCACTCGCCCGGTCATAAATGTGGAAAAATCAGAAAATATGAAAAATATGCATTTGAAATTTTGAAATGTCCACCATCAAAAGTTTATGGAACAAAATGGACAATGTGTTGAAGATGAATATTGTATTGTATTATTGAATATGTAGAACACAGCTTATATTAGTAAAATGAGATCATGAAGTAATTATAAATGACTATTATATGAATAATTAACTAGCATAATTATAAGATTTGAGATCTCAAAGTGATATGAATGATTATTTTTCTTTTAACACTCATATTGTCCATACAATGAATGTGTGAATCGAAGAGGAAGATAGAGATTGTCCCTCCTCCTGTCCAATCCTGACATCCTCCAATTATCCTCTCTACCATCAATTGCTTTATGGATGCATCTTCAGATCTGTTGAGTGGGAGTTGTGGCGTTGGGTGGATCATCAAAGATGGCTTAGAGGCCCTACTCCACCAAAATTCTGCAAATCGGTGCTTTGTAGGCTCGGCCTTAGCTGCAGAAGCCCTAACACTTAAGACTGCTCTCTTAGATGCAGTGTCTTCAGGTATCAGAGCTTGTTTATCAGACTCCAAGAATCTCATTTCTCGACTCACTGGCAATGGCAATTCCGTCAAGCTCCAAGGAATCTTCTGCGACATTCGCGTGCTGAGTAACTCCTTCGAATATATCTGTTTTTCCTTCATTTCCCGTTTAATCAATGTTTCAGCTGATTATGGTTTCAAAATGAGCCTTATCCCATGTCCACAACATTCTCCTTACGGAGATGTAATATCCGTTTAATAAAAATTAAAATTTAACCAAAAAAAGATAATGTTTTTAAAACTCAATTGAAATCTCTTTATGGTCAAAATCATTTCATAAGAACACTAGTTCACATTGTTTTAAGGTCACTCGCCTCGTCATAAATGTGGAAAAATTAGAAAATATGAAAAATATGCATTTGAAATTTTGAAATGTCCACCATCAAAAGTTTATGGAACAAAATGGACAATATGTTGAAGATGAATATTGTATTGTATTATTGAATATGTAGAACACAGCTTATATTAGTAAAATGAGATCATAAAGTAATTATAAATGAAATAATTAACTAGCATAATTATAAGATTTGAGATCTCAAAGTGATATGAATGATTATTTTTCTTTTAACACTCATATTGTCCATACAATGAATGTGTGGTCGAGTTCAGTTTATGCCTGATATGGATCATTCTCGGGTTCATTGAACCACATGCAACAATCACGCTGTGGGATCCTCTATAAATTATATGTGGCACCTTTAACAATGAGAATCCCATTATCGTTAAATCTCGAGTGCTCTCCTCCTTTCAAACCCCAACGCCCTCCAGAAAATTTTCTTTCGAGAATTAGAGTTTGCCTTGTCCAGGAGCTTCTCTTCTAATCCTCGGGGATCACCTTCCGAGGAACTTTCCTCCAGAAATCAGAGTTTGCTTCTTCCAAGAGCTTCTCTTATAATCCTCCGGGAATCAGAGTGTGCCTCTTCCAGAAGCTTCTCTTCAAATCCTCTGGGATCGCCCTCTAGGGAAGTTTCCTCAAAAATCAGAGTTTGTCTCTTCTGAGAGCATCTCTTCTAATCCTCCAAGATTGCCCTCCAAAAAACTTTCCTTCGAAAATCAGGGCTTGCCTCTTCAGGGAGCTTCTCTTATGATCTTTTTAGATTGCCCCCTGGGAGTGTTTTCATGGAAATCATAATCTTTTCTATTAAAAAATACAATATTTCTCGTAAAAGTAATTATAAGTTCTTATTTCGGGTCCCTTATCTCCCACTCACGCTCCGGAAAGGCGAATCAGCAAGGAAGATAGACTTCCTAACTCTTGTTTGAGCAAAAGGAAGGAAGTCAAAGGAAATTGTTAGGCCGAGAATTTATGGGAGGCCCAGGAGCCCACATGTCAGGTGTGCGATATGTGACTGCCACAAGAACCCGATGTGAGAGACGCCCAATATCGATAGGGTGCGTAGGAAAAGTCGGACTAGCTCGCAGCAACTTCTTAGTACAACCGCCGGATAATTCAGCCGATATCAGCAGGCATTTGCTCTCGATGGATTCAAAACTAGTGAGTGACCCGCACTCGATCTGTAATCATGTATAATTAGGTATTCTCTATAAATACACTCCCCGCATCAACAACGAGAGGAGAAAAAAATTCTAGAGAGATAAATTTCATCTTCTAGCATCCATAATATCTAGTTCGCCAAAGTTCTATCGAGATCATTCTGGGTCGGCATGACAACATTTCTTTAAACATCTGTCCTACCTGTTTTTTTTGTTTTCTTGTTCTTCCAACTAGTCATGTGTTTTGTTCTGACTTAAGCGTCAGAGAATAATCGGGAAGACACTTAAAAGCCAAACTAAGTAATAAAATACCTCGTATCTTTCCTTTTGCCTCAGGTTGTCTCGTGATACCCTCTTTCCATTCTCTCACGTTCGCACTGTTTCATCTTTGCAGGTTAACTCATCCCTTAGAGTTTGAACCTGTGAATCAGGCCCACCGGTTGAAAATAACGATCCACGTAAGCATCCGTAAATTGCTCTCGAACACAAAATATTTAGGTTTATTGAGCAAAAAAGTTTTAGACTTCTATAATTATTTAAAAAAATATATTTTTAAAAATACTTATTATCTTGTGTAAAATTTTAGATAAAAAAACGTATAAATTTAATTATTTATATTATGATGTAGTTTTATTATTATCTAAATCTAAATCCAAAAATAGGTATATAGATGAAAAAAAATTCGGGTTCTCTTATATCAATAGATTTGAAGCTGGATCCAGGGTGATTTTACTGTTTGTCGCTCTTACTAAATTGTCCCTGGATACATATTACCATTTGAGAAGGCAAAAGTTCTTCAAGTTTAATAACTCACTAAGTAAGAACCTTTGGGTCCTCTCAAGATGAATCTGAATTTCTCATGGTTATTTTAACCGGTAAAAAGCAAATGTACTAGTTGAAATAATCAGATCTCACTGGATACTACGAATGGTCCAAGGAAAATTGATGTGGACATCAGTACCATGCTAGGTTTACCAGAGGAGAGGAGCCATATAGAAGCTGACTTGGAGCTAAACATGCTTGAAGAAGAGGAAGAAAGGAAGCTGAAAACTGTTTACAAAGAGAACAAATGTTTTAAACCAAAACACTGTCATTCTACACATCAAAGAGAGTCTCCTGATCGTGCCAAGACATAACTGGTTCGAATTAAGATGCAAGAAGACCAGCCTAAACCGTCAAAGCCCCCAAACTGCATACATGGACTAACATTCACATTCTTGTAGCTATTTAAGGAAACCCTAAGAATATTTTATATCAGCTCTTATCAATTGCCTTCCCTGACGTCCACAGAAGAAACCAAATGATTCAAACCACCAGACCAAGCCAAGAACCAAGCTAGATCGTTTCAAACCAAAGATGATACCAACATCAAGAAGGTTTCCTTTTCTGAATTCATTAACTTTGCTTCTAAAGGAAACCATGACCAGCAACCACCTTATCTCACTAATCTCGACCCTCCATTCAAGATAAGAGATCCTAGACGTCCATACAATGTTGAAGGATCAAAGATTCGTCCCCCTACCATCACCCCAAATCAAGTCATTCCCCCATTAAGGCCAACATGGCTAGTTGATGCATTTTCTTTCACTTAGACCGAATTACATGTTTTTTTTTATTGTATGACCGTTTTAAGTCTTTACTTTGAGCATTATATAAGCTCAATAAATTTGTAAGGTCAGACACAAAATTATTAAAGAAAATCTTAGATGCAGTGTCCACATGTGACACATGTTAATGCAACCGCATTGCACAGATTTGTGATATTTTAACGATTTTAATTTTATAATATATTTTATTATATTTGTTAGTAAAAGTTTTTCAATAAATGTTAGTTTGTAGGTTGTGAATACCATGTAATTTATTAAAAAAATTTATTAAAGTTTGTGAAATAATAATATTTATATAAAATGAGGTTTGACCCTGTTAGGAAAGTGTAGCTGCCACCATTCTTTGAAAGCACGCAAGGATGATCGGAAAAAAATTCGGAGAGTAGAATCCAAATTGTGATAGTAGTGGCGGTTTGAGGTTCGATGGGGTATGGATGGAAAGAGTGAACCATTAATCTAAAATGATTTCATGAAAGCAAATAATGAATGATTTTCTATTCGATTGACCACAAAGAAAACATAAAGTAATGAAACTATTTTTTGCGCATAAGTAATGCCACAATCAGCTCTTAAAAGTTTAAAAATGTTCAAAAATAATATGAAGTAGGAGACATAATGAATGAGAACAGGGTGGAGAAGTGAGAAAAAACTACAGCGTTATTTTTGTGTTTATACGATTCAAAAATTCTAGGAGAGATTACTTTACTCTATCATATAAGATTGGTACTTTGTTGGTTGATTTGTTTTTGTTTCTTTTGTTGGATGAAAAAAAATCATATACAGGAGAGATAACAATATCGAAGCTTTGCTTTTATGTTTGTTCGATAGAAGAGAATCCAATAGAAGTATGAAAAAAGGAAAAAGTGACACATGTCAATTTATAAAGTGATATGTGACAGCATAGCAGAGATGTTTCTAAAAAAACCCTACTATATAATGTATTATTTTCTACTCGATTAGCCACAAAGAAAACTTAAAGAAATGAAATTATTTTTCACGCAGAAGTATGTCACAATTAGCTCTTAAAAGTAAAATAAACTTCTAAAATCATATGAAGTAGAAGACATAATAAAAGAGAATCGGGTGGAGAATGGAAAAAAAAAATTGAAGTGTTGTTTTCATGTTTCCTTGATTAAATAAATCCAGCAGAGATAGGAGAATAAAAAAAAAGAGAAAACAAATTTGACACATATCCTTAATATATCATATAAGATTTGTATTTTATTAGGTGATTTGTTTTTTCTTTGTTTTGTTGGATGAAAAGGAATCATGTAGAGAAAAAGGGAAAAACTGAAGTTTTATTTCTTTGTTTGTTTGATAAAAAGAATTCCATAGAAATATGAAAAAATATATATAAAAAAAAGAGAATGGTGCCACAAGTCAACTTATAAGATGACATGTAGCAGCATATCAGAACTGATTCTTAAAAAAAAACTTACTTTATTAGATAAGGTGGTATGTGGCAGCAGATCAGAAATGTTTCTACAAAAAACTTACTATATAATTCATTATTTTCTGCTCGATTAACCACAAAGAAAACTTAAAGAAACGAAATTATTTTTTGTGCAGAAGTATGCCGTAATCAGCTCTTAAAGTAAAATAAATTTCTAAAATAATATGAAGTAGGAGACATAATGAAAGAGAATCAGATAGAGAATGGAGAAAAAAACCGAAGTGTTGTTTTGTGCTTATTTGATTAAATAAATCCAGCAGAAATAAGAAAAAAACAAACAAACTTGACATATGACCAGAAACAAATTTGACACATGACCTTACTCTATCATATAAGATTTGTATTTTGTTAGGTGGTTTAATTTTTAATTTTTTTTTGTTGCATGAAAGAGTTGTGTGGATATTATATAAGATTTGTACTTCGTTGGGTAGTTTGATTTTTGTATATGTTGGATGAAAGAAAATTATTGGAGAAGAAAAAAAAATCTAAGCTTTTGTTTTTGTGTTAGATCGATAAAAAAATGTAGTAGAAAAAAAAAATGTGATGTATTAATTTTAATTTCTAAGATGACACCTGATTGTTGTGGGCATCAATAGCAAACAAACCCTCTCAGACGTTGGAGGATATTCAAATACCAAACTGGAGATAAGCTTGCTTGTAGATTAGGAGAAGGAGAAGCTTGTAGCTATGTTTGAAGAAGCTAAAAAGTATATATCAAAACGCCATCTTTCTGATCATCAAAAGGAGCCTTCTGGTCAAGCCAAAGACGAGCTGGTTCAATACAAGTCGTCACTTAACCAAGGAGAACCACCAAATTGCCTTAAACCACCAAATAGAGCTACATTGGAGTTATCTAAGGAAAGGAGGAACCACATGCCATTATATTCGACTCACCATTATATTCAGCCACCAGGAGACATTTCAAGACATTCAGAATCATTAAACCACCCCAATAACCAGGAGAAACCCATTAAGACATTCATATATGCACATGGACCTACATGTGTATATCTTATATCACCACTTATCATTTGCCTTCCCTGACGTCCACAGAAGATACCAAAGGATTCAAACCACCAGACCAAGTCAATAGCCGAGTTCAATCAACCAGAACCAAAAAGATCTCACCAAGAACAAAGTTTCCAATCTTAGAACCAATTATCTTGGTTTAAGGATTCTTGAAAACCAACGACCACATCTCTTACTTAATACCGACCATTCATCATTTACAAGATTCATCACGTCCCTACCTCATAAAAGAGTCCAAAGAATCCCCCCATCATCGCCCAAGACAAGGATATTCCCTTTAAAGCCAAATGGCTAGTACACATGATCCCATCACTTAAGCTAATCTCTTCTTATGTTTTTATTACTTTATGACCGTTTTATTCATCATTTTCTGAGCATTATATAAGCTCTTTTTCATTGTATTTCATATTCAGAATATTCAAGTTATAAATCAAAGTTATTTGTTTTAAAGAAAAGTTATTTGCATTCAAAGTGTTCCTGCTTTTCTTCTTGTGTTTGTGGAATCAAGCAACTGAAGAATTGTGTAAAATCTCTCAACTCTCGTGAAGATTAGCCCTTGAGTTAGAGAATCTAAACTCTTAGTGTTTGGAGTTCAAGCATCAACTGACTTCTCAACCATTCAAAGTCATCTCTCCATTAACCTTAGCATCAAGGTCTTGATTTCAAAGAAGTACAGATTGAAGCATTTTCAATCCTACATCAATGACAGTATATCAGAGTTGTTTACAAAAGAAAACTTACTATATTTAATATTTAAAAACAAAAGTGACATATATTATTTTCTTAGAAGCCACACAACAGCATATTAAAGCTGCTTCTGAAAAAAAAAAACTTACTTTATTTTGAGAAGAAAAAAACTTAAACATTGTTTGTGTTTGTTTGATAAAAGAGAAAAAAAATTAACACATGATCTTACTCTATCATATAAGATTTGTATTTTGTTAGAGAATTTATTTTTTCTCTTTTTTTGCTGGATGAAAGAGAATCATGTGGAGAAGAAGAAAAAAAATTGAATTTTTATTTCTGTGTTTGTTTAATACAGAAAATTCAGAAAATTCAGAAGATGACATGTGGCAGCATATCAGAACTGCTTCTACAAAAACTTTACTTTATTAGAATAGATAATATTTTGTTAGTTTTGGCCAAACAATCATTCACATACACTTTTTCTATTCCAGAATGTTCGACTTTTTTGATGTTTCAGAGATATTAAGAAAAAAGTGATTATTTTTTTTTTGTTTTTTAATTTAATACTTATTTTTTATATTTTTATTTATCTAAAAACTGTCTTGGAAAAAGATATATATTAAATACAATATAAAAAATCAAACTTTCAGAAACAAAAATAAACTTCAAACTTTTTGGAATGGAGGGAGTATGTCATATATGTTTTCCTGAATGGAATTGTTTAGAATTTACCTCCTTTTCTTATCGTTTCATCTTCCACCATTAATCTTTTTTCAATTTTTCAGCGGTTTCATATGACATTCATTTTTTCCACTTATTATCAGATGCAACCCGACATTTACCTGTTGAATATAAATGCATTTGGAGATGGGGTGAAGAATAAAATATTCCTATGGCTTTTATACTCTTGATCGATAAATAGAAGCATTGATAGATCATTGGCTGTAAGCACTAGAGATAATGGTAGTTCTCTACACGGAAGGGAAGAGACACGAAGGGGAAGAGATATTGATGGAGAAAGAACTGCGACAGATGAGGATGATAAAAAAACAACAGAATTTTGGAACCTGAAAGCGAATGGGCTTAATTTAACTGGGATGAGAAGGAGGAGAGTGTAGGTATCAAAGCCTTAACCAAAAAAAAAAAATCATTAATGCTGATTTTGGTTCTGCTTATTCTACTATTTATTCATGTTGTTATTGTGTGGAGGGTTTGCGTGATGATGGTTTTGGTTTACAATAATCCATTTTAGGTTTTTCTAACAGTTTTTTAATTTTATAAATGTACTTGACTGTTAATTTACTTTTTATCTCTTACAAATCTACTATTTTATTGAGGCATTGTGTTTGTTAATTTGTGTATATTATGCAGAACACTGTAACCAGATCAAAAGCCAATATGCAAATATGGATGTTTCTAGTTTCTATATGGTATCTTTGATTGGAACTTTGGGGATGATGCTTTACTGTGTCATTGTCTTATATCAAGAATGATATACTGATTATTGTTTCGCTTTATATCATTCCAGTTCTGAATTTTATCTTTCCTTTCCTAGTGTATGTGTCTCAGCACTCTCTCAAGTCTCTGAGTATGTTAACTCGCCATTGGTGGAAGAGGGTTTGGAAATTCGTGCTGCTTTATCCCAAGTCATGTCAGAAGGCATAAGGAGCTTCTCGGCTTCAATCAACATAAATTTCACAGTGTTGTGGATGCTGGATCATGTGTTCTTTCTTGATTTAGAATTTTGGTTTGCCGAACTTGGAAATTACATGTTCTCCTCCCAGATAATCTGTGCAATCAAACTTCTATTGAGATTTAAATTTGATCTCAATTTAAACTATTTCAGGTGTCTGAACGATCTATTGTTGAATAAGTGAACGAGGATGTGCAAGTGGATCTGTTGTATATGTCAAATAAAAGACTCAAATGAAGAGGAACATCTGAAAAGTTCCCAGCAGCAATATGATGGTATGTTATCTAGATGCCACTTACTAACTGAAGGTTTCTAATTAAGTGAGTGTCTGAGTGACATGTTTTTAGTTGTAGTGTTCATCGTTCAAAAGAATTCTATACCCACACTTTATTATCATATTTTCCAATGAGGGGGAATGAGCTGACATTTGGTATTTTCCGCTTATCGTGTTGAGTGTCTTCATGTATGTATGTAGCAAACCATAAGAATCTAAAATCAGCCGCTGTTGCAAAACATGATGATGTAGTCCTGAAAATGCTTCAAGAATACTCCTTAGAATCGGTTGTTTCAAGCTGGATATGATGGAGGAATGACTGATGATTTTTGTAGTCAATATGTGGTTGATGACCTCAAACACCAAAGGTTAGACTCTACTAGCTCAAGGGCTAATCCTTGCGAGAGCTTGGGAGATTCTACACGTTCTATCAGCCTCTGAATCCCTCAAGAAACTAAGTATTAAACGCAGTAACAACTTTGATTCAAAAGACAGACATCTCTTTGAAACAAAAATACTTTCTGATTTATTATAACTTGGTTAATGAAAAGTACAATACTTATGAGCTTTATATAGAGCTCAAATGATGTAAATAAAACGGTAACAAGTAATAAAAATAAGCAAAGATCAAGCTAAAATTGTTGGAAAGAGTTTTACTAGCCGTTAGGCTTAAATGGGGAGATGGTTGTCTTTGGCGCTGAATGGGGAGATTCTTGGTGATCTTTGGCACGAAATGGATATGTAGAATCAAGTAGCTTGACTGAAGGATCGAAGTTAATGTGATTTTATGGTCTTTGATCTTGGTTTCCATCTTCTCTTCTTAAACCAAGAAAATTGGTTCCGATTTTGGTAAGTAGCTTCCTCTTGATTTCTCCTTGGTTTTGACTCGAGTTTCTCTGGTTATTGGCGTGGTTTAGTGGTCTTGGACGTCTTAAGATGTATCTTGGTGGCTGAATGTAGTGGTGGGACGAACATAATGTCATATGATCCCTTGTATCCTTAACTAGCTCCAATATTGCTCTATTTGGAGGTTTGAAGAGATTTGGCAGTTTCTCCTTGATTTGAATGGGATAACTCCGGTTATTAGCTGGTATGTGGGCTTTTTTATCTTCTGAATATCCCAAAGAATAAATCAAGGTCGTGGTTTCCTTATATGGCTCGCCAACTACACATGTAGGTCCAATTAAATGTCTTGGCGGTTTAGCTTGATTTTGATGGTGTTTTGGCTCATCATTTGGTTGAGTAAACTGATCCTTTTGATGGCTGGAATGGTGGCGTTTAGAGAATAGGTCCATATCTCCTTTAAAAGCAGCTACAAACTCGCCTTTACCCTCAGCTACAAGTCCTCCATTCCTTATGGCTACTAGCTTAGTGGCTCCTTTGCTCCATTTCTTGTCAAGTACTGATGTATGAGTATTTATGCTTACATTACATGAGGTGCAAAAAGAATCTCTTCCCATTGAGGTTCCTCCCTTGTCTTTGGATGAGGTGAAGGAAAAGACTCAAAATTTTGGATCAAACGCGCTATTTGCTGAAGGATCTTATGGAATAGTATATTATACAACATTAAATGGTGGTGTCCCGGTTGCTCTGAAGAAACTTGATGTCGTACTTGAAGCTGAATCAGATGCCGAGTTCTTGAGTCAGGTTATTTAACTTCTTCAGCATTTTCTTTCTCTTTTTTTACCACTTTCTCTGTTAATGAGATGAATCAGTATCTATGTATTTCTGTTTTCCAGGAAGCTTGCGTTTACATCTTCTTTCAATTTGCTATATTAAAAATGTGATCTTCCTTAGGTTTCCATGGTTTCAAGGCTAAAGCATGAGAATCTCATTCAAGTGCTTGGTTTTTGTGTTGATGCAAACCTCTGCATCATGATAAGAGACACACTAACAATTTTAAAGGAGCCATTACTTTAATTACTATTTTCAGTTTTTTTCCATGTTTGGTAAACTTATACGTATAACTAGGTAACTGCCCGCGTGGATGCGCGGATGCGCGGGTAAGTGTAGTTATTTGATTTTATTTCTAATGCCATGGAGAAGAAAACTAAGCAAACCATCATTTTCCAATGCTCTCCTTCGTCTCCGAACGTCGACACAATCACGTTGCGGTATCCTCTCTACGCTTTCTTCACGAACTCTGAATCTGGAGTCGCTGGAAACAGAGCGTACTTTTTCTGGTCCACCATTTTTTCCGGCAAGAGAGAGAGAGAGAGAAAGATAGAGAGAGAGAAAGAGAGAGAGAGAGAGAGAGAGAGAGAGAGAGAGAGAGAGAGAGATTTAGGAGAGAAGTAGAGATAAGGAAAAAGAGAGGGAGCAATGGAGAAGAAACACGTATGTATCTGCAATGGAAGGAGCAAACCATCTTCTCCATATTTCTCTTCTTCTTATCTTTTATTCATGTGTCTCTGTTCAGCTCTGGACAGGTTTCTAACATAACTCATGCCCGAACATTGAAACTATCGTCCTTGATGCCATCCGTAAAAAATTCCAGCAGACTTTTGTCACCGTTCCGGCCAATTTCTACCTCTTCTTCCACAATTGCTTTGTTCGCGTATGTTAATATATTACAGGGGCCTCTATATTTATAGTGGTTCAGAATTATTTTCATAGCAAAAGCTTTGAATGTATAGAACTGTCATATATGAATGTATAGGGATGTGATGCTTCGATATAGATAGCATCTATGTTGGAGAAAGATCATCTTTTCCATTCTACTCCCATCCTACAACGCAAGCATCACTCTGTCAATATCTCTTCTTCTTTTTCTGCACATTTGCTTGTATTCATGCTCTGCATATTATAGATCAATAAATCACATCATATTATTCGATTTCTTCTGCAGATTTTGGATATTTCTTTAGTGCTCCATCTTTGACTTTATAGAAACCTGTCTGTGTATAGATAACTCTCTGTATAATTAACTACTGATAGTTGAAACGCTAACTTGTAAGAAGAAAGCATAAGTAATTATCATAAATAATTGTCTTAAGTGAAGTTAGAAGAAAACATAAGTACTAACTTAAATAAAGTATCCAAAACATAAATAATAAATCCATAATCTCCAACATCATACAAGGAAAAAAACACCTACCAACAGAGCATACCGCCATAGTATTCAATGAATATGATCCAGACTTGATCACCAAAACAACTAAACTTCAGTCTTGAATGGATTGCAATAGAGTATATCCTGAAGCAAGGCAACTATTGTACACAGAATTCCCATCGTTTTGGGTTTGGCATTCGAAACCTAAGACATGGCTCCGTCGCCACTTCATTACAATCCTGTTGGTGTCCGCCTCCCAATACTGCAAGAACGTTGTGGTGAATTTTTTTATCTTCGAATGTTACTAACTGTTGTAAGAGGAGCAACATGTTTCAACGACCTTAAACAGTGGACGGTGTTATTTACCTTAACTTTTACGAAGCATGTATTGCTTTTGGACTAATTCATCTGCCAGTTGGTGCGAATTAGAAGAATGGAAGATCTAAATCAAGTTTTTAAACCTATCCAAGATCAATAATCGAATAAACATTGATATCTCGGATGAGACGGCGTATATATTGACGGATGAATGTATCTCTTTTAAAAAGAACAAATTTGGTATATTGAATCTACACAAAGATTATCATCTCGGTTTAGTCAAATCATATATTCAACTTCTGAGTATCTCTTTAAAGAAGAACAAATTTGATCTATAAATTAATATTTTATTAATATTTTAAAGATTAGGCACTGACTAACAAACCCCCAAAAGGAAACAGTAATTATAAATCTAATATAGATCAAAACCTAAGACGAACATAAATAGCCAAATATCTTATTCACTTTCCAACACAACAGCACGATCTTTAAGGATCCACAACCATAGACCTTGATTTCCTTGCAGATATCTTGGCAGATAGACTACAGAAATCAAAGAATAAAATTACAAATAGTCATAACTGGACTTATCTATTAAAAACAAATAACATATGCGAAGAATCATCTCACCTGGCTCTGAACTCCTTAGCCTCTTCAAAAAGAGGATTTAATATAACTTGTGTAGGATCAACTTATCAACATATCGATCATAAAAAAATAATAAAAAAAACTTATCAAAGAAATTAGTAAAGGCAATGGAAAGTATGTTTGACCTAAGGAATTTGTATAAGTGATTCTCGTGTTAATGTTTTTAAGAGAAGACGGAAAGTATGCGTGACCTAAGGATTCTAAATAGAAGTATTTATAATGTTGAATGGGTGGAAATTAGAAATAGAAATTAAGGCTTCCATGTTATCGACATAGGGTAGATATTATTTGATGATTTTTATTAAGAGTATTAATTTCATTAAGGGTAATTGAAGTATTTTCATATAATGGGCAAATAGTAATTAACCACAATAACTTTTAACCACAGTTCAATTTACTTGCCAATTAATAATATGATCTCATTCTATTGTTTTAGTGATGTGTCTACGTGTATACTTAAGGCTACAATTCTTTTTCATTTTGGCGATCATCATGTATGCTCCATTTACATGTATATAAGAAAACAAAATGGCAAATAAAATATAAAATAATATATGTATAGAAAAATAATCAGCACGTAGTGCAGATATTAGCCAAATATCCATAAGAAATCTAGACTAAATAAAAAAATATTAAAATTATTTTGGTTCAATTTTTTGAACATGTTATAAAAAATTAATGCATTATTGTTTACACAATTTAGTTTTGCTCTACATTCAAGACAAGTACGAATTTTCCGGTACTTGTGAACAAAATGGAATTCCATTATACAAAACATAGAAACTGACTTGCACCTTCCCATAAAACAACAAACCGCTAAATCTTTCCTCTCTCAAAAAAATAAAATATATGTATTGTCAATATATAATTTCTAAATAATTATTACCAATGGCAGAGTCAGGTCTTACTCATAATCTGAACCAACTGAATATCTTGTCACTTTATTTTATTGAAATAGGATTGGAATACGGATGACGTACACAGATGAAATATTGGGACACACAAAGCTAAGTAAATCATCAAAGAGATAAACCTAAACAATACGAATTATATATAGAATCTCAGGCCTGTTCTTTAAACCTCTCTTCTCTGCCAATTTATGTACCTCGTTTTAAAGGTGGAAAGTCTCAACATGTTTTGATCATATCGACCCTTTTCTAAACTGCTTTGATTTTTACTTTGGCCTCCGTTAAGTTGCTTGACTTGCACTAGACTTGGAACATAAGAGCACACATGTGGCAAACAGCTATTGTCGGTACGTTCTCCGAGGTCCACTTGTCTAAAGTATCCAAACTCTCCAATGATGTTAAGTGTTTCGCGATTCTTCCTCCTTTTTTTTCTGCGTCTATCTCCAAAAAGCATGACGGTTTTCTTCACCTCATCAATAAAGAAACTCCCACTATATGAATACGTAATGCCAGGGTTTGAATACTCATCCACTTTTATGAACTTGCTCCACGAAACCTTTTCGGTGTCAATCATAGTCGTGATCCATATCTCAAATGAATATGAGCCGTATGTTGGAACCAGTTTTACAGATCAGAATGATAAGAACGGAAAACTTGTTCTGTTCTTATTCCTTAGAAAACTTAAATAGCCAAAGTACAAAGCAACTGCCTCCTACATTCTCGGAGGACTTTTACAACTACTGAAACAAATACTTGACCCAGTAAACTACATAATCGGAGCTTACTCGACCACTAAAACAACTAATAAATCCTTCCCTAAAACGATACTCGTGAGTGTATCAGTTTACTTCGGCATTTCAACCATTCCCAGCAGCTCCTTTAGCTTCTTGAATGTATCCAACTTCAGCGGCTTTGTCATGATGTAGGCTATCTGATTCTGTGTTCCACAATGCACTAGCTTCACCTTCCCTTCCTTAGTCAAGTCAAGTCCCTCAAGTAATGGAATCGTACCTCAATGTGCTTACTACGCCCGTATAGCACTGGATTCTTTGATAGTTGAATAGTTGAGCTGTTGTCACACTTGACTGTGATGCAGCTCTCTTGACGTTCTCCAATCCTCTGAAGCACCCTTGTTATCCAGATTCCTTGTGTTGCACAAGAAACTGCAGCAATGTACTCTGCTTCTGTTGTGGATAAAGCAACAATTGGTTATTTCTTTGAGCTCCATGAGACAGCTCCTCCGGCTATGATGAACACAAACCCAGATGTGCTTCTTCGATCGTCCAAATCTCCTGCATAATCATTGTCAGTATACACTTGAAGCTCACTGCTTCCACCACGCTTATACATGACCCCCAGTTCTGTTGTGTTCTTCACATATCTCAGTATCCTCTTCACCACCTGCAAGTGTACCTTCGTTGGATATTCCATGAAGCGACTTGTAAGACCAACGACAAACGTCAAATCTGGCCGAGTGACTGTGAGATACATTAAGCTTCCGATTATCTGCTTGTAGAGTGTTGTATCCAGAACAGCTCCTCCTCCTTTCTTTGAGACCTTTGTGCCTGGAACAATCAGACTGCTAACACCATTACTTGAGCCCATCTCAAACCTTTCAAGAACTTCCCTAGCGAACTTCTGTTGACACATATAAATCCCTTCTTCTCTCTGCAGAATTTCTACTCCAATAAAATATCTCATCTTCCCAAGATCAGTCATGTCAAACTTCCTCATCATCGATTCTTTGAACTCAGTGATCAGCTTCTCACAATTTCCAGTAAAGATGAGATCATCAACATACAAGCTAACAATGAGGATCTGACCTTGTTTCTCTGTTTTGATGAACAAAGTGCTCCAAGTCGCATTTCTCAAATCTTTCCCCAGTGAAGTAGCTTTCTATCTTGCTGAACCAAGCTCTCGGTGCCTGCTTCAGACCGTGAAGCGCCTTTCTCAATTTACAGACCTTATCTTCTTCTCCCTTCTTAATGAAACCT